AGCCACATATCCTGGCAGAGCACCATTAAATGATCCATGAGTTGGGGGCTACCGTGTTTGCAGATCTCAGTAGGAATTGCGACCGATCGGGGCGGTTTCCTGTTGGAGAGCTGCTGCAGGGCCCTGATGGTTGCGGGAGGTCGAGGTCGGCGTCGGTCCCCACTTGAGGCAGACGGGCGATGGCGGCATCGGAGGTGGTGGAGGGATAGTTGAGTACGCATTAGAAGTGCTCGGCTCATCGCGGTAGAATTTGTGACCTCTCAGTGAGTAGGGGTGTTCCGTCGGCTCTGAGAAGAATAGCAGTACCTCTGGTTGGCGAACCATAGAAGGCTTTGGCCGCGGAGAGGAAGTTCTTCTATTCGTTGTGGTCCACGTAGCCTTGGATCTCCTCGGTCCTGCGAGTCGTCCATGCCTCCTGCATCTCCCTCAGCCGCTGTTGCACAAGGCTGCGACTACGGTGGAATGCAGCTGTGTTGTCGTTAGTGGGGCGGCCGACGTAGGCTTTATGCAGGCGGTTCTTCTAGGCGAGCAGGTTTTTGATGACGGCCAGCGTCGTCGACTGGACTGTGTCACTTGGTTGGCACCATCCGATCTCCACGGAGGTGCTCTCGTCGGCGGCCGCGGTGGCGGCGGCGGTGGTGGGAGCAGCGACTGGAAGGCTGGCTGGTCGCTGAACTAGCTCACTGCTGAAATGGAGAAGGTGAACAGGAAACGACAGCAAAGTTATATTCGACTTACCTAGGGGTACGTTTACCTTGAAGTCTCCTGCGAGGCTGCGGGCAAGTCCGCATCTTGGAGATGACGAGACGATGGTTGGTCCAGCAGTCGGCACCCGAAATCGCCTTTGTCGCCAGCACGTCACGCTGGTTTCGCCTCCGAACGACGACATTGTCCAGCAGGTGCCAGTTTCGCAACCGAGGGTGCATCCAGGTGGCTTCCTCTCGCATCGGGAGGCGGAAGTAGGTGTTGATCAGGATGAATCGGTGTTCTGCGCAGGTTCTTAGAAGGAGCTGGACATTGTCATTGCGGCCGTCGATACCATGGACCCAGCACCCCTCTCCAGGCAGTATGGTCTGCGCGACGCAGAAGTTTAAGTCATCAAGGACAATCCACTTATCCGCCTACGGCACAGTCGCCAGGAGGGCGTGCAGGTCCTCAGAATTTGTCCCTTGTGGCGTCGGAGTCTGGTCATTGGGGTTGGGCGTAGACGCTGGGGATGGTGGCGAATTTGCCTTCCCGTAGCGGAGGCCGGATGCTAATTAGACGATCGACGATACCCTGCGGCAGACAGGGCAGCCGCCCTCGATGTCGTTCCGGATGACAAAGGCGACTCCTGGGACTCTGGATCGACCGCTCCAGAAGAAGGTGCAATCAGCTCCCACCTCCTCCATTTGGCCTTGTTCGGGGAACCGGATCTTGCTGAGTGCAGCGATGCCCACCCTTTAACGCCCCAGTTTCCGTGCCACTAGTGCCGTCCTCCGATCTGGTCAATTGCTCCTCGGATTGTCTAAAAGGGAACCAACATTGCAGGCTGCCATAATGGGCGGGCTCATTCTACCAGTCTGGCGGGTAGGGCGGCGAGGAGGAGGAGAA